AGATTTTACTGCCCATGTTTTCTTCTGGGATTTTTATGGTTTCAAGTTTAACATGTAAGTCTTTAGTCCATTTTGAGTTTACTATTTTCTATGGTGTAAGAAGGTGGTCTGGTTTCATTTTTTTTTTTTTTTTTGCACGTATCTGTCCAATTTTTTCGACACCACTTGTTGAATAGACTATCTTTGCCCCGTTGTTTATTTTTACCTCCTTTGTCAAATATTAATTAACTATAAATGTATGGGTTTATTTCTGCATTCTCCGTTCTGTTCCATGGATCTATATGAAAAGATGCTCAACACCACTAACCATCAGAGAAATGCAAATTAAAACCACAATGAGATAGCACCTCATACCTGTCAGAATGGCTCCCAGCAATAAATCAACAAACAACAAGTATTGGCAAGCATGTGGAGAAAAGGGAACCCTTGTGCACTGTTGGTGAGTGTACAGATTGAGGCAGCCACTGTGGAAAGCAGTATGGAGTTACCTCAAAAAATTAAAAATGGAACTGCCTTTGGATCCAGTGATTCCACTTCTGGGACTATATCCAAAGAAACCCAAAACACTAATTCAAAAGAATATATGCACCCCTATGTTCAATGCAGCGTTATTTACAATAGCCAAGATTTGGAAGCAGCCCAAGTGCCCATCAGTAGATGGATAAAAAAGCTGTGGGACATTCACACCATGGAGTACTACTGGGTCCTAAAAAAGAAGGAAACCTTACCTTTTGCAACATCATGGATAGAACTGGAGAGCATTATGCTATGTGAAATAAGCCAGTTAGAGAAAAACAAGTACCATATGATTTCACTCATACGTGGAATCTAATGAACAAAATGAACTATCAAGCAAAATTGAGACAGACTCATGGATAGAAAGCAGGCTGACAGCTGTCAGGGGGACAAGGGTGAGGGGCTGAGTTGGGAGTGGAAGGATTGAGACAAAAAGGGAAAAAAAAGAAAAAAATTCATGGACATGGACAACAGTGTGGGGATTGCTGGGGTTAAGGGGCTGGGGAAGGTGGAGGAGTGTATGGGGGAATAAATGGTGATGGAAGGAGATTGACTTGGGATGCTGAATACAGGGTACAGATGATGTGTTGTGGAATTGTGCAGCTGAAATCTGTATAATTTTGTTAACCTGTATCATCCTAATAAATTCAATAAAAATGAAAAAATGTATATGGGAATTTTATAATACATTTAATTCCAACTCAGCCTTTAAATGTACTTCCAATCTCTGGTTTTTAGAAAGTTTCTGATGTACAATCTCTTTCACTGGTGATACACAACAAATAATTATAAACAGTCATAAAGTCGTGTATGTTCCCAATTAAAGTCCCATTAAGGGAGAGATATTCTGTGATTTAGTATGAAATTTAGAACTTCTGTCTTTTACTGGTTTTATTTATGGTGTCACAATGATGATGACAGTAATGATAATATTATAATAATTATTCTCTGCAAATTAAACAAGTTTACATTTAAGTGAATAGTATATTTCTTTATTACTCTGCTGTGGTTCATAAATACTTAAATAATATACACAGGAGTCCAAAACGCTTATTAACTTCATAGTTATTTAGGTGACTTTAAATAATTTAATTGATTGAACACATTTGGTCCTTTTTCAACACATCATTTAAGTTAAATTTCTAAATAAAGGGTTTGAGAAAGTTTGGAATAAGGTGTATAGAAAAGGGATATCATCTAGAATAGTAAGTTATTTTAACTCTCCTCGTTTTTCTGTGCTTGAGCACAGCATATTGGACTCACCATAAGACACACTGCTTTGCCATTCGGAAAGCTAAATAGAATCCTATTTAGGATTACCTGTGTGTGTACCATTTACACACAAACTGTAACCCAGGAAGAGCTACCAGAGCCGAATGGTCCTAAGACACCAGAGATGTTACCATTCTTCCCTGCTCCTGCCACCTAGAGCAGAAGGACCTCTTTTCTCTTCCACTTTCCCTCAGCCTTATGCTCCTGGAATCATCCCAAACCCTTCCCCAGTACTAAACCTTAGTCTGGAGACAGAGCCGACAATGCCTGTTAATGTTGTCCTACACTGAGGTTATTAATAGTCTGATGCATTATGCTTAGCACTGCTCCGAATAGCTTTGTGCACAAGTAGCCCCACATGCTTCACATTAAAGAAACCTGGATGAAGTAATCTTTGCCAATTTGAACCCAGAAGGCATAGCTATTCAATATGTGTTACTCATGTAAAAAGGTGAAGGTAAATGTGGAAAATATTTATCTTATCTTACTTACATACCTATCTGCCTCTTTCTTTTAATTTTAAATTCCTTGAGGGCAAGGATTATACTTTGAAATTTTTACATTTCCTGTGTGTCCAGAATTAACCTTCCATAATACTCTGTAGAAGTCTTAAACTGAATATGCAAACATTCGAAATATCTTTGAATATTTAGTGAAGCAACATCTGTTTTTACCTCCACAAACTACAGTGCATGTGAAGGATTTCATTGCCCCCCTCCCTCTGCACACAGTGTCGCTGTCAACAGGTGATGCGTTCTGGGGAGAAGAGCCTTGCCAAAGGGGTTTTCCCTTAGCAGCCCCTCTTCCCATATGTTCCTTCCCTGTAGCATATCCTGAATTATGAGGCCCGGGAGGTGATCGCAATCACCGAGATGACGTGTCACACCTGGAATTCAGCACACTTCCCTCACCACACAATTTTCCTTAGTTGTGTTGAATCTAAGTTTATGGCTAAGGAACTCTTGTTTCTCTGTGAAGTCAAATATTATGCTTAATATTAGTTTATCATTTATGTTTACTGTTTAAAATATAGGCAGATGTGTAAAGATCTATTAAAATAGCTAAACTATTTTAAGACCAGATAGAATTGACAGGATAGAATGCATGATCTTATGATACTTCATCACATCTTTAAATATGCACACAACTTCTGTCTAAAGTTCAGTCAGTTATATGTTTAAAATATGTAAGTAAACTAGCCAGGCTAGGCTGATCTCTGTGTCCTATATTCTCTATAAAGGAGAAAGTACTATGTAGCTTTTTCTTTTATTTTCTTAATAGTGTGCATTGGTATAGATGTATTTGTGTGTACATTCATACATTATGTGACATCTATTTCATAGTTTACTACATCAAACCTATACCTACATCCATATAGCCAATGACATTCCTATTTAATGTTGTAACTTTATTTTTATTAACTATCCTGTTCACCAGTAGTAGGTTTTTCACATTTTTTCCCTATTTTCTTTCTATGGTATTTAAATGTCTGTATTTCTGTTGTTTCAGTTAAGCTAAAAAGAGTAGCTGTTTGGAATGGTCTTTATGTTTTTATTATTTGCTTGAGAAGAGCTCGCTGAAGAGTTTGATGATAACATCTTTTAAATGCCAATTAAAATATGTCATTTAGAAACGGTTACAATAGCATATCACTTAGGAATAAGCCTTTTCTTCAATCATAGCAACAGTTACATGTAAAAATGTTTTATATTTGTAATCATTATCCTAGATTTATTTATAGCAGGGTTATGGTTTCATTAAAATAATCGAAGATGATATTCACACTATAGGTAATTTAATTCATCCTTACGGCAGATTTTAGTTACTGTTATTTTAAATAATTGTGAAAACATCTGTTGCGTAAAGAAACTTTAAGAATCTAACAATTAAAATATTCCAGTAAAAAAGTATATTTTTCTAATAATTATCAAGGTATCAAATTACCATTTATTTAGCTTTAACCTGCAACTTCAGCATACTATAATTTTTATATAGTAAACCATAATGTATGGCATAGGCCATTCATATACCACCAAAGTGAAGTTCTGAGAACAATTTAAGGCATGGGAAAAGGGCAGTACTGAAATTAAATGCAATATGATATATGTCTTTTAAGGCACCTAATAATAATAGCTAACACTGATACCAGGTGCTTTTCTAAGTCATTTAATATGTATTGACTTATTTAATTCTCAGAGCAGCTACATGGGGTTGGTATTATTACCTCCAGCTTTCAGATGAAGACACTGAGACTGAGATACATTAATCAACTTGCCCTAGATCACTCACTAGCCAGCAGAGGAACCAGGATTCATATCCAGGTTGTTTGAGTTTTAAATGAGAACATTTGGTATAATGGACATTTTAATCCAAGAAGTTAATATAGGGATTTTCCTACCCAACTTTCCCAAAGTGCACTCCATGATCAGTAGTTTCACCAAATACTCTGGGATAAAAGCTTTGATAGTCTAACACATCAGGGAAAATAAAAACGCAATGTAATATTGTCCCCTTTACTCTTGGAGATTTGCAGTGGGCATAGCAGAGGTTTTAAGAAATCCCCAAGTGAAGAGACTTGTTTCAACCCGTGGTTTCCAGACATTACTGACAAGAAAACTTGCTGAACACAAGCTTCACAGCCCTTAGTAGCAGTGCTCCTTAGAACATAAACGCTGAGACCCTCCAGCCCTACTATTTGGCAGATGGAAAACTGAGGCCTTTGGGGGGACCCTGTACATGTTTTTATCTCACTCAGCTCTTGAATCAGCATATAGGCATAACTGTTCTGCTATTTTAAGTTTCTTCTAGATTTCCATCTTTGTTTAATCTTTTCAACAAGAAAACTGTCGCTATAGTGAAGTCACACAGATGAAACAGATTGGCTATATTCTAGTTTACTTAATACAAAGTATCCACAATACAATTTTAATGTAAGCAGTTTTAATCATTCTTGGTATTAAATATTCCATTTATTCTGAAATATTACACATCTAAAAATTAAAGAAAAATAAAACTAACCAACTAACAAAAAAAATACTCTCGGAGAGTCCTGAGGATCTAGAGAATCTATTTTTTGGGTAATGATCATGATCATAGGCCATGAGCGCATTTCACAACCACAGCTTTATTGCATGAGATCACGGAGTTATCATATGTAGCTCAACAGAACTTTATATATTTTTTTCTGACCACTGCATGTTTTACCATTTCAGTTCCTCCGAAGATATATGACATCTCAAGTGATATGACCATCAATGAAGGAACCAATGTCACCCTTATTTGTTTGGCCACTGGGAAACCAGAGCCTTCCATTTCTTGGCGGCACATCTCCCCATCAGGTAAAGCAGAAATATGTCAGTGTTGTTTATGCTGTTCAATATTGTCCTGTTGCCTCGCTTGTTCAAAACTTGGGTCAACATATTCTCTTCCATCTTACTCACAAGGTAGGCGGGATGCATGGTTTTCTACTTATTCTTTATACCTAAAAACGCTGTAGTTCACCAAAGTTAAGTGAGCATTTTCCGTCAGAGCCCAGAATAGAACTTCTGTGTCTTGATTCCTAGTGAAGGTTACTTTCATTTTACTGTACTGAAGAAGCACAAATTAATAGACAAAAGGCACAAATGGAAATATTACACTAGAAATGGTTTCGTTTAAGTGTATAAGGCTTTTTCTTCTGTCTGCATTCACATGTTAATAGGCTGGAGTGAACTGCTAAGGTAATCAGGGGACAATCACATTATACAAATTATGAGGTCCCTGGGTCTAATTTGAAAATGCAGTTCAGAATCAAGGATCTGGAGGTTAGAATTACATTTTAACTGATGAAGGATCTTAAAACCCAAGAGTTTAAGTAACTTGTACGAGACCACGTAACTCTGTAGAATTAAGGCGCATGGCAGTCTATGGGTTTCAGTGCGCATCGTCTTAAGGAGGTGAAGTATACTCTAGGAAGCTGAGGGTAATCATCATCAAAATGCTCCTGTTTTCACAGCAACAGCTCTAACAGAATCATCAGCTTGGGTCAAATGTTAACACTGGAACGATATAGCTTTGAGTGTACCATGGAAGGGAAGGTGGTGCTTTTTAATGAACAGGAAGCCACAACATTTTAGATAATGAAAATTGATTTTTATTTGTTTTATATTTTTAGTGGAAATAGCTTCAACAAGGCTATTGTGATGAAAATGCTTTTAAAGAAATCAGAAAGATACATTTGATGTAGGCCTAGGAAGAGTACAACTGGAACATCTATTTGATCTGCTAATGCTTTCTTTAATATCACTTATCCTTAAGTGTTTTTCAGTTTCCTCATTTATGCAGTGGGTCTAATGAGACTTACTCATATCATATGCTTAGTATTACTATTAATGTGAGAAGAAAATCAATATAACAGCAGTATACACTTATATAATATGCATTATGGCCTCTATAATATTTCTGAAGCATGAGTGTACTCTTGACTGCCAACACTTCACTCTTTAGAGTGGCTGCAGAGTCATAAAAACTGGTATGTGTGCACTGAATTAGTGGCAGGACTCTCTGCAGAGTGTGAGACAAATGTAGGACCAACGGTTGAAATCCGTGTGTTCCTATCTCAAATTCCTTATTCATCAGTTCAGCCAATTTTAGTGCAGATCTCTTAGCCTCAGTTATTCTCAGCTCGTTTCCTACTTTCCAAAAATCAAATGATAATAATGCCTGGCTATTGTGAGACTCAAAATAGATAAGAGGCATAAATGTGCTTTAGAAAGTATAAGATGATATGCAAATACTGATTCTTAATCATCTCTTCAGGGATTTAAATCTGATATGGTAATATATATTTTTTGTAAGAACGAAGCACATAATCTCCATCTTTATACAATTTAAGATTAATATGTTGGATTTAACTCTCCTGCTTTGCAGTGCTTGTTACTATGCATATTCTTCTTTTTAAAAGTGCTTGGGTACATTCTAGTTTAATTAAATAGCAGGAATGTTGGTTAGTGAAGTTATTAGAATAATGATAATGGATAACATCATGAAGCTGAAAGAAGACAGATTGGGTTTAACTTAAACTGTACATAGATTTGTTTTCCTGATCCTGCCATACAAAGCAAATTAGAAAAATTAGCATAAATATTAACTATTATCCAATGAATAGCTAGACATGGCTGATATTTTTATAAATGCTTCCAATATTTTCAAATTATAATTTGTTAACTGTCTATAGTCAAACGCACAGCAATGTGGGGTTTCTGCTTTAAGTAATATGTCTGATAATTCTATTAATTTTGTAAAGTGATGTTTTTATATTTGAATACAAAATTGTATAATTCACTGATGCGTTACTATTTGCTTAACACATACTCATATTTTGTATATTCTCTTTTATTGTGCGATATCATGAAAGAAATGTGACTCAAAACAGCAGTCACCACAGGAGCAAAATTTAATGTTAAAAATAGATACAGATACACAGTTGACCCTTGAACAATGTAGGGGTTAGAGGTGCTGATGCAGTGCATTCATAATCCACTTATAAATTTTCACTCCCTCAAAACTTAACTTGTTCTTTAGTTGCCTAAGGGGCATTGCTCCTAGGACTACCCACAAACACTGAAATTTGCTGGTGCTCAAGTGCCCTATATGAAATGGCCTAAATCAATGCATACAGTGGGCCCTCCACATCTGTGGACTCTGAACCACTAATCAAAATTAGTGCTGCTACTTATTGAAAAAAACCACCAGAACAGCACAGCGATTAAGACCATGAACTTTGATGACAATCAGAATTGAATTTAAGACAGGTCTTCCTCTTACCAAGTGTAAGAACTTAGATACAATTGTTAACCTCTTTAATTTCAAATACAAAATGATGATAATAATTATACCCAATTCACAGAAGTGTTATGAGGATTAAATAGAATAGTATAGAGTATTGAAAAGGGTTCATGACTTAGAGCAAATGTTACATAACATTAACTATTAATGGACTACTCAGATGTGTTTAATTTTTGACCAGATAGATTCTCCAACCCTGGTTCTGAATAGAGGGGCCTATTAAGAGCTCTTAAGTGCAATCCACAGAGCTGTTCTCAAATGAGGCTGTTATGAAGCTAAAATTCACTTCGAACTTCTGGAGAACATTGACAGGTTTACATGAGCCACTTGATTTTGGATATAAGGACAAAATAAATTTTTTATCACATATCATTTTATCAATAAATCTAGATTTAATAAAAAAATAGAAAATGTTAAAAGATAAATTTTAAAATGATAGATTACAGATAACAAATATGGGACATTTTGAAAGCCTCTGTCAAGTTTTCACTTATTGTTCCTTGCTGTTTATCTTAATCACTGTTTCCTGGTCTATTCCTATTCTTTGATATCTGGAATCTCCAGAAACATTCTTACTCTACCCTGCTGGTGTTTATTATCTGACAAAGATATTGTTTTGAGTCTAAAGCTAAACTATGAGATAAACAATGGCTGTATGTCTCAAGCTCTTTGTTGTCTAATTTCCATATTCTTCCTGCCTTTTGGCAAGATATTCTCACCTAATTATCCGTAGGAATTAAGACTATCTAACTCGCCCAGCCAGCATGGCCCAGTGGTTGAGTGTCAACCTATGAACCATGAGGTCACAGTGCTATTCTGGCCAGCTCAGTTCCCAGTGGGAGTCGTGCAGGAGGAAGCCCATCAATGACTCTCTCTCATCATTGATGTTTCTCTCTCTCTCCTTCTCCCTTCCTCTCTCTGAAATCAATAAAAACATCTTTTAAAAAATAAGACTGTTACCTAACTCATTATGACATCTGTCCAATCAGATTCACCTTTCTCCTGTTGTGTTCTGGATTCCACCTCTTCCCATTCTTTTATATTCTTATTCCACTTAATATCCTCTTTAATCTCTTTTATTCTATTGACTTCTACTGTCCACATTTAAACAAGCTCAAGTTGCTCTTTTCTGAAGGCAGTCCTTTGACACTAATCACTTTTGTTTAATAAAAAATTGTTGAGCATTTATAAAGAAGAATACAAACAAATGGTCAGAGGTGTAAGAATACAAACAGAAAGCCATGGTTTCGAGACTAAAAGAGGAAAAGTTTCCTGGAGCAGCATGCAGTGAGCAATGTCAATCAGGCCAAATAAGAGCCAGCTAGTTAGTTGCCTTTGTGTGAGGTTGTCTGGTGATCATGTGGCAATTCAGTGACACTTCTGTAAATTGGGTATAATTATTATTTTATAGTTGAAATTAGAGATTAACAATTTTGTCTAAGATCTTACACTTCATGAGAGGAAGATCTGTGTCTTAAATCCAATTCTGATTGTCATCAATGTTCATGATTTTAACCACTGTGCTATTCTGGCACCATCTGATGCATAAGAAATTACTGGTAGGAATAAAAATAAATCATACATTTTATATTAGGGATTTTGAGAAAACCTTGAAAATAAAGTATAGATGCTTTGAAAGATAAAAAGCAGTTATTTCCTATACTTTCTAGAAGTATTGCTATGGGTTTGCCTCAACTATAAGATAAATACCATAAATTTTCAATCAAGAGTACAACAAATTGCTCTGACCTGTGGCTCAATTGCTTGGGTATCATCCTGTGAACTGAGAGGTCGCCGGTTCCATTCTGGTCAGGGCACATGCCCAAGTTTTAGCTCCATACCAGGTGAGGGTGTTGACGGGGGAGGCAATCAACGTAGTGCTCTCACTTCAATGTTTCTTCTCTCTCTCTCCCTCTCGCTTCCTCTCTCTCTAAAATCAATAAGTAAAATTTAAAGAAAAGAATACCATGAACCGTTCCAAAGTAAGAGATTTTAAAGACTTTAAGAATATTAAATGACAGCTGTTTCAGTATAAACAGAGTAAACAAAGTCAAATATTCATTAGACCATGGGTCAGTAGCCTAAGGCCTATGGGCCAAAGGGACCCTACATTCTATTTTCCTAAATGGAATTTTAGTTGCTGTGGTTGGAAGACAGTCAAACTCCTTCCTTTACATATTGTCTATGGCTTCTTTCATATTATAGTAGTAGAGTTGAGTAATTACAGTAGAAACCATATGGCCTACAAACCTTAAACTATTTACTATCTGCTCCTTTAAGGATAAGTTTGCTGAACCCTGCATTAGATATTTTAAAAGAGGTGTTTTAAATTTTGTTTCACAGCTGCAAGACATACAAGTTTAATGTTAGCACATTAAAGCTTCTATAACCTTTAAAGAAAATTAAGTACAATCTTAAGACAGAAAATGTTAATTACTAATTATAAAAAAAAATAAAAGACTGTAAAAATTAAAGTTATTATCTAAAAACTATGTACACTGCTGGAATCTGT